TGGGTAACTTTTGTCTCTTTCTAGCTTTGACTGCCATCTAGGGTCATTTGGCTACTACAGAATATTTCTGACGGAGTTGGACCAAACTCGGCTACGAGACGTCACCCACGATCTACTTACCTTATTGTAGCTAAACCCAGGTAGCTACCCCTCATTTCTTCAGTGGTGACAGACCTGCATTTGCATCATCTTGACGGATCATTCAAGGGTCGACATAGTGTGGCTAAATTGTCGTTAGATTGTCATGTACCAGCTGTGACCCCTCCCCCACCCCCATTATCTTCAACAACGGTAGAGTTTCTGAAACGCGCTGCGTCAACATCGACATGATCTTCTACAGTTACATCTGTACAAATTAGCATTTGATTCAGTTATTTTTAATTTTCATTTTTCTTTCAAATAGGATTAACTCTCAAGTTTAATTTTTTTACATTTTTTTCCTCATAAATTCTTACAATAGTGTTTATTTGTTTGTTAGTGTTATTTTTCCTATTAGGTATCGTAACGAGGAGCCAGCCTTGTTAATACAAAATTTTATAAGATCTTACAGGGCTGAGTAAGCCTTCACAACCTGCTTTTAACATTGGGATTTTTCTCATCAATCCCAGCTGCTTTACCCCTTGCATTCTACGCACTTCCCCCACATTCATAACTGGTTCTTCCTCAATCCTACAAGATGTTATTCTTCCTTGCCCTATACACGAAGTCACAGCTTCCCTATCTTCATCAACATTAAATAACAAGTCCTCAAATTATTCCCTCCATCTTCACGATACTTCTAACTCTCCGTTTATTAACTCCTCTCCTATTTATAACATTCCTTTCGTTCTCTCAACTTATTAATCATCACTTCTACTTTGCAAAAACCTCTCTCTCTCTCATATATATATATATATATATATATATATATATATATATATATATATATATATATATATATAAAATATATAGTGTGTGTGCAATAACATCACAGTAAACAGATGATATAAAAATATGCAAAACAACCACTTTGAAAGAATAATGAAATTCCAAGTACTTTTGCAACTTCTCATATAAGAACATAAAAGAGGAACACTGCAGGAGACCTTTTGGCCCATACTAGGCAGGTCCTTTACAATCCTTCCCACTAACAAAATATTTGCTCAACTCCGTTTTTAATGCTACCCAAGAAATAATTTTGATGATTCTATTTACTCATTATGCAAGTCCTATTTAAATCCAACCCTTGTCACTCGTGTATTTATCCAACCTAAATTTGAAACTATCCAAGGTTTTAACCTCAATAACCCTACTCGGCACACTGCTCCACTTATCAAGTACCCTATTTCCAAACCAATACTTTCTTATATCCTTTCGAAATCTAAACTTATATAATTTGATTCTCTCTTGTGAAGATATCCTCAAGGTCTTATTTATATCCACTTTGTTAATATCCATCTTGCACTTATACACTTCGACCATGTCTTCCCTCATTCTTCGTCTTACAGGTGAATGTAGTTTAAGAGTCTTCAATCGTTCTTCGTACAGAAGATTTCTAATGTTATGTATTAATTCAGTCGTTCTACAATGAATGTTTTCTATTGAATTCTGTAATATGGAGACCAGAACTGAGCTGCGTAATCTAGGTGAGGCCTAACTAATGTATAAAGCTGTATTATGACATCTGGACTTCTGTTGCTCACACTTCTTGATATAAATCCCAATAATCTATTGTCTTATTAAATACGCTTAGGCATTGTCTAGGCTTAAGGTTGCTGCTTACCATAACCCCCAAGTCCTTTTCGGAGTCTTTATGGCTAAGTTCTACGCTATTTAACTGATAAGTACTAGGGTTATGGACACTTCCAAGCTTCAGAACCTTGCATTTATCTACACTGAACTGCATCTGCCGCTTTTATGAGCAAGAATTGAGTTTGTCTAAATCCTCCTGAAGTTCCGTGACATAAGATTTAAGATAAGATAAGATTTCGTTCGGATTTTTAACCCCGGAGGGTTAGCCACCCAGGATAACCCAAGAAAGTCAGTGCGTCATCGAGGACTGTCTAACTTATTTCCATTGGGGTCCTTAATCTTGTCCCCCAGGATGCGACCCACACCAGTCGACTAACACCCAGGTACCTATTTGCTGCTAGGTGAACAGGACAATAGGTGTAAGGAAACGTGTCGGAATTTCCACCCGCCGGGAATCGAACCCGGGCCCTCCGTGTGTGAAGCGGGAGCTTTAGCCACCAGACCACCGGGCCACCAGCTACATCTACATTTGAATCAATTATCCTACCTGTCTTTGTGTCGTAGGCGAATTTGCTCATATCACTAAGGTCATATCATAAAGGTAATTGATATATATTATAAACAACAGGCCTAAGACTGATCCTTGTGGAATGCCACTTGTTACAGATCCCCACTCTGATTTAACCCCCATTGGAGCATACTCTCTGCTTCCTATTAGAACCATGACTCAATCCATGACAGCACTTTTTGCCCCAGTGCCATGAGCTGCCACTTTCTTTAACAGTCTCTGGTGCAGTACTCTATCGAAAGCCTTACTAAAATCTAAATAAACAATATCGAATTCTTTATTATGATCAACGCCCTCAGAAACTTTACTGAAGAAGGTTAATAAATTAGTAAGGTAGGAAAGGCCCTTCATGAATTCATGCTGAGTATCATTAATCAAGCTATGCTTATCCAGATGGCCTTTTATAATATCAACTATAATTGACTAGTAATTTTCCTACAATTTAGGTCAGGCTTATTGGGCAGTAATTTGAAGGTAACGACTTGTCCCCTGCTTTAAAAATAGAAATTGCATTAGCCATCTTCCACATATCAGACACTACACCTGTTTGAAGAGAAATATTAAAAATATTTGTCAGTGGTTCACAACGTTCCATTTTGCACTCTTTAAAAACCCATGGAAAAAGTTCATCGGGACCCGGGGATTTATTTTGCTTCAGTAGGTCTATCTGTTCGGTAATCATTTCACTAGTGACTATGAACTATATAACAATTCATCAAAGGAAGGCATATAAATGGTCAAGACTACAGCTCACCATCACATCCCACAACAAAGCAACACCTCACACATGCGTGACAACACCCGACTCTGTGAAACACACATAATACTCTACCAAAGAATTAAAATTTATTACTTGTTTAATGTATCATTAAATTCACCCCAAATTTTATTATAAATGAATCCAATTTATATAATCCTAAGGAAATATTAATATTTTCAAAACTCCTTTTTATAAAACATGATTCAATTATATTCCTGTCGACCGGGCCGCGGGGGCGTTGATCCCCGGAATAACCTCCCGAAATAACCTCCAGGTAACTTTTTCAACCTTTTGAAATATTAATTGGATGGTTAAAATCTCTCGCATGAATAAATAGAGCATTAGAATCTTGTCCAGTTCTAATGGTATATTTATGATGTTTTAATCTTAGTTCAAGACTTTTATTAGTTTGACTGTAATAAACTTCATCGCAAATTTTACAAGGAATTCTTTGTCAAGTTATTTTTTTTACTGTATCAAGATTTTTAAATACAACTATGATATTAAAAATCTTAAGAGGAGATGGCATATCAGCCAAGTTTTCATGGTGAGAACCAACATATTTTTATTTGAATTAGGTTGGTTGTCCCTTTTTTGAATTGGTAAAAGTATTTTTAGCAATTTTACAAGATTTATCAATTACGTTTTTTGGGTATTTCAGATCACTAGCTATTTCATAAATTTTGGATATTTCTTCATTTATGAACTCTGGACAACAAATACGTAACACTCTCAAAAACACTGATGAGAAAACCAACAGTTTAACTCTATCTTGATGTGAAAAAATAGTGTATATAGGAACAGTTATTTGTACGTTTTCTGTAAACTTTAAATTTAAAGTCATTGTTACCCTTAATAATTAAAACATCTAGAAAAGGCAATGAGTTATTTGCTTCGAACTCAACAATAACGTTTATAGAATGGGCTAAGCTATTTAATTTAACAAGGAAATGGTTTATATCTACATTCTTAGGCATAATACAAAAAAATATCAACATATCTGAACCACTTAGCTCTATGTATAGGTTAATAAGAACAGGTGAAAGAGGATTTCCCATTGCCATACCAAACTTCTGAGTATAAAACTTATCATTAAATACAAATTTTGCATCAACAATGCAAAGTTTAAAATGTTTAATGATAGTAGGAACTGGCAATGGTAAATCGTGATTAATAAGTTCTTCAGATAAGAAACTTAATCATCAACTGGAACTTTCGTAAACAAGGAAGTAACATTATGTTAAAATCATTTAAGTCAGTCAAGGAGCTTAATTTATCAACTAAATCTAAGTTGTTTTTAACATCAAAGTTATAAATTTTCCCAACAATAGGGCTCAATATGTCGACAAGCCATTTAGATAATTTATATGAAACTGTTCCAATTGATGATTTATTAAGTTTCTCATCTAAAGAACTTATTAATCACGATTTACTTTTGCAGATCATTTTCAAACCTTGATTAATATATCCTATTTAAAAAATGTTTTATTTTTTATAATTACTGGGCCTTGCAGAATGCTGTTTCATGCTTTTGCTTGCTAATTGTCTTGTATGATGTCGTTCTGAATACATCTAGATGTATTCTTAGCCTTTAGTAAACCTGCTTATATGAGACAGTCCATTGACGGCAGTCTCCTGTGTGTGAGATAAACAGTGACTTAAGGTCGCTAAAATGAGATTCGCTGTGAACTTCATAGTTCATATAATAATTAAGGTTTGCCTCAACTGCTACATTCATAATATTGCGAGATTCTCATTTTGGGAGAAAAAAAAAGTTTCCGTGAAAAGTTGTTACTAATATTATTTGTCTTCCTGTTAATGTTGATTTATTACTGTGATTGATTACAATTTTCAAGTACACATTCCTTGATTATTTTCCTGTTTATACCGTTTACCAATCTCACTTTTTTCAACACTGAATATGTCCAAGATTTCACTAACCTTGAGGGTGTAGGGAAGGTTTGGCTTCATGTACTCGTCTGCGTAGATAGTTTTGAAAGAGACAGCATTGCGAGTGATGGAAACTGAAGCCTCACGTTTCATCTCTACATCAGTTCCCTCCTCTGTGACGATGACGGAAGCCTTGAGACTATACACGTTACAGTCGATTACCTTCATCTCCTGCGCAGTAAATTTCACTTCTCGACACCCAGAGAACTGTGGGGGGATACATAACTGAAATCACAATCCCTTACAGCTGTAAACAAAGATCTACAGGGGAATACTTAATAGCACACTCACACCTGCCCTCAGTATGAGACAAAAGGGAAAATTTCAGAACACAATCTCTCACAGCTACACCCAGATCTTGATTACCTGGGTTGTAATAAGGGAAACCTGTCCAGGAGCTGGAGCTGGACTTAGAGCAGGAGCTGAGCTTAGAGTAGAAACTGGAGCAGGAGCTAATCTTTACCATTTAGATAGCTTGCTATCTGGCATTGCGTCAGCTTTGCCAAAGCTTCCGATTTTGCATGTCAACTTTACATTCGCTTCGCTATTGTCAGCCTTGCTATTGTGTGTGTATTGTGCGGTAGCCTTTTCTATTACGTGTCAGCCTTGCTATTGTGTGTGTATTCTGCAGTTAGCTTTACTATTGCGTGTCAGCCTTTTATTGTGTGTGTATTCTGCACTCGGCTTTGCTACTGTCAGCCTTGCTATTCTGCGTAAAGATTCTGCAGTCGTACTGTGCATAGCTGGTTGAGCGTGTATTGCAAACAGCGTGTTACGTTGAGGTTAATGCCACCTATACAAGTCAGGCGATTGGTGCCTGAATTCACTCTACTAAACCAACCCAAGTTTTCTCTACAGCGTTGTTGACGAATTGCTCACTCTATTAGTACTGAATATCAAAACACTCTTACTGCGGTGCAGCTCCGTGTTATTATTCGTACAAAGCTGAAAGCAGAAGCAGATATGATGCACTAGATTGACGTATCCCTAGCCACAAGAGCTATTAATCACAGATGTCGGCTTAGGTTCCGGCAGAATAATGGGAGACACACAACACCTAGGCAAATCCAGCAGTCTCGTGAAGCAGCAGGTGTGTCGAGTTTGTTTAAAGATGAGTCCGCTTCATTGGCGCTTGAGTTAGCCACACTCAGTCTTGAACAAACTAGAGAGCAGCGAGCATTTACTAGGGAGGAGTTCGATTGAGAGAAGGAGAGGAATCAATTCAAACAGAATTTAGATGACTTCAGTTTGCGAAGGGCAGTACCGCTTGTTCCTCGTTTTGTTGAAGCGGAACCTGAACAATTTTTCGAGGCTTTTGAAAACCAGGCTCGAGCTTTACGGTGGCTTGAGGTACACTGGGCAGCATTGGTGCGTACAGCGTTAATTGGTAAGGCACAGGAGTTTACCTCTGTGTTAGATGATGACCAGTTTGGCAACTATCGAGTGATGAAAATCACTGTCTTTAGGGCTTATCAATGCATTCCTGCCAAGTACAGGAAGGAATTCAAAATAAGCAAACGGCAGCTGGGTCAGTCTTAAGTTGACTTTATAAGACAACAGACCAAAGCCTTTACCAACTGGTACAAGGCGAGTGGTGTCTCTAACTTTGGGGATCTTGTCCAGCTAATCTTGGTGGATAACCTGCTGGAGTCCGTTGGACCAGAGGTTCAAATCTTTCTGCAAGATTATTCGTTTGCTACTGCAGTGGAAGCATCCAGGTCGGCTGATGCTTTCGAAACTAACCACTCTCACTTCAACAGCCTGGCATGTGCAGAGATCGTCAAAGAAGTGTTCCAGACTGGAGGACAAAGTGCCAGGACGAAGATGAACGGTGACGTCAACCAGCTAAGTCACCTGGTGAGCCACGCTACTCAACCCATGATCAACATGATGAGCGACAAACCACTAAACATGGTGAAGACATGAGTACCCAGATTGGCGCCAGCCATTGTCCAACAAAACCTCAACCAGTAGGCAGAATTACTAATACTGAAATGGATCAAAAAGTAGTAGAGAATGGGATGGCCCCTTATTATAGTACCTGTCAAACTCCCTTCAGGAGGATTCAAAGAAAACGGAAGTATGAATATTTAGAGATACTGGGGCATGTTGTTCTCTGATACGAGAGGGAGTACTTAACCTCTCGGAACAATCATCTTTACAATCATCCGTCCATTTAGAAGCTCTTGGAGGAGCAGCATTTTGTCCCTCTACATAAAATATATGTGCACAGTAAATATCACACTTGATATTTGACAGGTAGGTGTTTCTGATGGATTTCCTATGAAAGATGCTGTGTTATTACTGGGTAATAACATTTAATTCTACTAAATGTACAGAACCTATAATGACTAATTCTTCTCCGATGTTGGCCATAACTCGGGCATAATCCCGAGAGGTATCTGATGAGAATGCTAACCCATCCTTGGACGACTCTGATCTTGAAATAGCCAATTTGTTTTACGAGGAAAACTGGCCAGGGCCTCGTAAATTTAGTGAACAGACCCAGATCAAGCCTTCCTATTCCAGGGCTGCAGGATTACAGATGTGTCTGTTTCCATACCCGAGGGACTGTCCTATTGGGAGGAACAGCGAAAGACCATTCATTGAATTTTGCTTTTCAGGCAGCAATGGGTAAATCCTCCTCAGATCACCCTGTCAAATATAAATTTAAAAACGTCTTCTTAATCTGCACTGAGACTGGTAAGAAGGTGGAGGAAAAGCAAAAGACAGACAGGTTAGTAGTTCCAGAAATGTTTAGACCACAAAAATTAAATATAGCTCATAACTCTTCGTTAGGAGGCCACTTAGGAATTACTAAAACCATGTATAGAATGAACATTAAAATGGTATAAAATACCGACAGGTTGTTAGGTAAGACACATATGCAACAGTTAGGTATCTTTATTGTGAAACGTTTCGCCTACACAGTAGGCTTCTTCAGTCAAGTACAGAAAAGTTGATAGAAGCAGAAGATACTTGAAGACGATGTAATCAGTCCATCACCCTTAAAGTTTTGAGGTGGTCAGTCCCTCAGTCGGGAGAAGAGCATTGTTCCATAGTATGAAACAATATGGAGAAGAAGTGACAGGATGGAGATTTTTATAGCGCCAAGAGGTGAGACGTAGGCCACTAGGAGAGGTAAGAACTCAGATGTTGAGAAGGCAGGTCCCTCTCAAATCTAGCCTCTCTCACTGGTGGAAGTTGTCGAAGTTGATTGCAGGTCTGTACCGAGATACCCTTGTGTTGCAGTGTCTGACAGATTGAACATTAAAATGGTATAAAATACCGACAGGTTGTTAGGTAAGACACATATGCAACAGTTAGGTATCTTTATTGTGAAACTTTTCGCCTACACAGTAGGCTTCTTCAGTCAAGTACAGAAAAGTTGATAGAAGCAGAAGATACTTGAAGACGATGTAATCAGTCCATCACCCTTAAAGTTTTGAGGTGGTCAGTCCCTCAGTCTGGAGAAGAGCATTGTTCCATAGTATGAAACAATATGGAGAAGAAGTGACAGGATGGAGATTTTTATAGCGCCAAGAGGTGAGACGTAGGCCACTAGGAGAGGTAAGAAACTCAGATGTTGAGAAGGCAGGTCCCTCTAAAAATCTAGCCTCTCTCACTGGTGGAAGTTGTCGAAGTTGATTGCAGGTCTGTACCAAGATACCCTTGTGTTGCAGTGTCTGACAGATTGAACATTAAATGGTATAAAATACCGACAGGTTGTTAGGTAAGACACATATGCAACAGTTAGGTATCTTTATTGTGAAACGTTTCGCCTACACAGTAGGCTTCTTCAGTCAAGTACAGAAAAGTTGATAGAAGCAGAAGATACTTGAAGACGATGTAATCAGTCCATCACCCTTAAAGTTTTGAGGTGGTCAGTCCCTCAGTCTGGAGAAGAGCATTGTTCCATAGTATGAAACAATATGGAGAAGAAGTGACAGGATGGAGATTTTTATAGCGCCAAGAGGTGAGACGTAGGCCACTAGGAGAGGTAAGAACTCAGATGTTGAGAAGGCAGGTCCCTCTCAAATCTAACTTCGACAACTTCCACCAGTGAGAGAGGCTAGATTTGAGAGGGACCTGCCTTCTCAACATCTGAGTTCTTACCTCTCCTAGTGGCCTACGTCTCACCTCTTGGCGCTATAAAAATCTCCATCCTGTCACTTCTTCTCCATATTTTTTTCTTTACTATGGAACAATGCTCTTCTCCAGACTGAGGGACTGACCCCCTCAAAACTTTAAGGGTGATGGACTGATTACATCGTCTTCAAGTATCTTCTGCTTCTATCAACTTTTCTGTACTTGACTGAAGAAGCCTACTGTGTAGGCGAAACGTTTCATAATAAAGATACCTAACTGTTGCATATGTGTCTTACCTAACAACCTGTCGGTATTTTATACCATTTTAATGTTCAATCTGTCAGACACTGCAACACAAGGGTATCTTGGTACAGACCTGCAATCAACTTCGACAACTTCCACCAGTGAGAGAGGCTAGATTTGAGAGGGACCTGCCTTCTCAACATCTGAGTTCTTACCTCTCCTAGTGGCCTACGTCTCACCTCTTGGCGCTATAAAAATCTCCATCCTGTCACTTCTCCATATTGTTTCATACTATGGAACAATGCTCTTCTCCAGACTGAGGGACTGACCACCTCAAAACTTTAAGGGTGATGGACTGATTACATCGTCTTCAAGTATCTTCTGCTTCTATCAACTTTTCTGTACTTGACTGAAGAAGCCTACTGTGTAGGCGAAACGTTTCACAATAAAGATACCTAACTGTTGCATATGTGTCTTACCTAACAACCTGTCGGTATTTTATACCATTTTAATGTTCAATCTGTCAGACACTGCAACACAAGGGTATCTTGGTACAGACCTGCAATCAACTTCGACAACTTCCACCAGTGAGAGAGGCTAGATTTGAGAGGGACCTGCCTTCTCAACATCTGAGTTCTTACCTCTCCTAGTGGCCTACGTCTCACCTCTTGGCGCTATAAAAATCTCCATCCTGTCACTTCTTCTCCATATTGTTTCATACTATGGAACAATGCTCTTCTCCAGACTGAGGGACTGACCACCTCAAAACTCTAAGGGTGATGGACTGATTACATCGTCTTCAAGTATCTTCTGCTTCTATCAACTTTTCTGTACTTGACTGAAGAAGCCTACTGTGTAGGCGAAACGTTTCACAA